TTTCCATTTTGATGTGGTTGTGTTCTCTGAGCTGGATAGTTGAGAACATAACCACATCAAAATCATCCACTTGAGCTACAAATCTTCTCTATCATATCTACATTTCCATTTTCTTCAAAGTATTTGTTGAGCGATAGATTGTTCGTTGGATCGTTGTCCGCTAGATTACCTTGTTGCTTATGCTTTTTGTCCAGCTATCTGATCGTTAGAATCGAATGACCGAAGAAAGCTACTGATGAAAGTCTTCGGTAGCCTGTTGAAAGGTGCATGTCACAGTCTCTAAATCATACATAGAAGCACTAATCGACTTTATATTAGTGTTGAAAATCCGAACATTGTTCCTTGTATAGCTGAGTGCAGCAGATTTTCTGGCTCTCGTGGCCTAGTGGATAATGTTTTGTGCGTCGGTGCTACAGAGATAGAATGCTTACCAACTACGTATGTAGTTTGGAGTTCGGTCCCCGGATGACGCACACCTTTACCTCGTTAAGCCAGTAATAAGACTGGCAAAGAGGAAAGGTTAGACAGGAGGCTAGCCACCCCATCCAGTAAAAATAAACATCTTTACTACCAACACTTCAAGCCTCTAACTTAAAACCCTTTGTTCCACTGGGAACGTAAAGCGAATGGAAAAAAAACAGCAGATTTTCACACTGATTTCAGATCAATGAATGTCTGTCTTTCCTTTCCGCTCCTAGCTGGCTTTGGCATCTTCATCTGTGTTACCTCCTGGTGTAGCTGAAATGACCACTGCTTAGATATAACTGAAGGAGGTAACTCCTCTTAGTGTTATTACTTATTTTTCATCATATTAGTATGCATATTATTTTCTCTCCGCTTTGGCAAGACTTCTTTGCGACATTATTTCGACAGACATCCTCCGCCGACCAATCAAATAAAATCTTTACAAAACCAATACTTGAAAATTAGTTTGATACTCACTAGCCACTGGCCCTATTCAGGTAGTTAACCTTGGGGTTGTAGGGGGAAGCTGTGACCAGTAGGCTACAGCAGGTTGAAGGTGAGGTAGTAACTCCTCGAAGAAGACATTGCGAAGTGGTCGCGCTATGTCTTGAATTGGTAGAGGTTGGAATTCATGGACTAGCCATTGGATCGGGTCCCATTGTAACAACAGAAGACAAGGGCCAGGCAACAGATCGTTTTATTATGAAAATCAACACGTATTTATACATATTTCACATACATTATTATAGCTTATGCAAGTAGACAAGCGCAGTTATCTGATTGGTTGTTTATCAGAAGTTAGGCAGACAAACGCAGGCTTCTGATTGGTTGTTTCGGGATTCCTTGACAAATAGAGTTCTCTATCTGCGAATCATATTTTGCCACGTTAACTTTGCTGTGATTGGTTGTTGACTCAGCCTTGTTCATATTTTCTCACGGCCCATATTAACGTAGCTTAGTGTCAACCAATCGGCTAGCAGCCTGCTCTCACCACACCATTGGCTTAATGGTTTACGAGATAGCTCGCCTTGTAACCGCAAGGTAATGGGTTCGAACCCCATCGGTGGGTGCGTACTGCTAAAGAGTCCTGAACTAGGACGAATCAGTTCTCCAGTACTCCGGCGCTGCTATTCCTGTTGTTCTCTATCTGATGTCAGCTCATGGTGAAATCCTACAACCAATCAAACGAAATCCCTACAAAAACCAATACTTGAAAATCTTGTGCGTCTGTGGCACAGTGGTTAGGACTCTCGCCGACCATGCACACGGTTCGAGGTTCGATCCACTGCCGACGCACACCTGATATCTATGGTCGGCCTGTAAAATTTGGGCTACCGATATCCATGCTGGAAATTCCAGAATTGTACCAAAAATACGGTGTGGAATCAAGCTGTATATCAAAAAAAAATATCTCACTAGAATGTTGTGTGTGTATGTGTGTGTAATGTGTACTATAACTCACATTTATCTCTCTTGTATTCAACTTCTAACTAAGTTTGTCTGTCACAACCTATTCAGCTTTTCACTAAAATGAATACACGTATCCAAGTTTCAGTTCAAACTTCTTGTTTATATACATATATATATCTCGTATATTTGCGTCGTTTGAAAGCGTTTATCAATCACATTCCGAAGCGGGTGTTTCTTTTGTTATGAAAAGTCTTTTTTTTTCAACTTTTTCTTCACGTTTTCTATGCACTTCTATTTGTATAAGTTAGGTACGAAATTACATTCCCCGCCAAGAAACGGATTGTCGTCAAAACACAAGACAAAAAACGATGTCTGTTTATATAACTTGTCTAAATCACTCAGTGTGCTGTACTCCTGTGATTTGATTTGGGTTAATATTGTTATTATTACTATCATTCTGTTTTTGTAAGTAAGAAGCGACTTTCAGACTTTTTCCTGTCATTTCTTCTCCATTTTAGAATAAATCTTATTGCATATTCGTTAAATGAATCTTATAATTTTATACACTGTCAATACTTGTTGCTATACGGAATCAATGTCATGGTAGTAGTAGTTAGTGGGGTAGTATGTGGGATGGAAGTGAGTGTAAATCCACTATCATCTCGGTTGTACATCTTGTTTGCTTTTCTGGAGAGAGAGAGAGAGAGAGGGAGAAATATTTGCTTCCTTTTTCTCTCTCTCTCTCTCTCTCGGGTAAATAGTCGGAAATCGTTTCCGGTGTTGCAATCCAACTTTTCAGCCTTGTTAGTAGACTTCATCTAATTATTTTGTTGTTGCGTTTTTTTTGTTGTTGTTGTTGATGTGTTCATAGAAAATGCGTGAAATGAAAGAGAGACACAAAATGTGGCAGTGGTAGGATTTTATTCTACAGTGCATTTAAGAGACCCGAATGATACGTTTAAACTTGATTTTAAGAATTTAAATTTAATCGATAGAATACCGATGAAAGGTATTCACAAATCCTTTAGATTTGCTTAGATTTTATCAATAATTATGGTTAAATGATTGTATATTTTCATGTATCATATCTAAACATAAGAATAATCATTATGAACAATAAATTGGCTTAAATAAGCCCGTATGTTAACGAATAGTATATTAAGAAAGAGTATTCATGTCTGTCTAGGCAGCCTTCCCAGCCACGTAAATCGTACATACATTTCACGTACCCATTCTTATTCTTGCTTTCATGGAAAGAAGATACTTTGGATGACTGGCTTCCTGAAAACTTTCACCAGCTCGATATGTCATTTCGCCTCTCTGATTCCACAGTGAAATAAGATTGTCTTAGATATTCTTTGTACTTTTCATATTTTTCTTGTGCGTCGTTGAAGTTCATTTAGTAGTTTGAATGGTTTTGTGTAAGGTGGGATCGCTAGCCGCACACTCAATCCTCCCTCTTCACCTTGGCTTGGGATTGCCTAGAAAACTAGCGAAGTTTATGCTATTTACTATTATTTTTATGTTTAATGTCATACGCAAACAAACAAACTTGCTGAAGAGTCTAGCCAGTCAGAGAAGAGAGAACTCCAGGTGAACACAGAGAAGACGGATGGAGGTGAGATGAAGATAACCAACCAACAGTAACAACAACAATCAGCACCAATCTCCATCAACAGGAGACATTTGACAGAGGTTACTTCCTTCATTTATCTGAACAAGAAGCATGGTTTCGACCATAGGTGGTGGATGGTGTGGATGAAAATGTCAAAGACATGTCAAAGACTCGGAAAGGCAAGATACACCTTCATCAACCTAAAACCAGTTTGGAAATCTTCTGAACACACCGCCTCAACCGACACGAAGAAAAAAATTCAGATTTTCCGCATAAGTGTTAAATCCCTTAGTTCTCCTATATGGGTAAGAAATGTGGCCATCGTGTCACGAAAACCATTTCCAACAAACTACTTCAGACCTTATCGACAGCTGCCCCCATCACTGGTTCCATACTGAAGGTTAAATGGTCAACCAACCGGTCAAAAATAATCAGCAACAAAAATCTCTGCAGTGCAACAAACCAATCAAGAGCTCATTGTTCAACAAATATATATTAGAAAGTGGACAGGGACTGATGGGGCACGCATTGAAGAGGCTATCGAAAGGCATTATGCTGATGAATGCAGACCATCACTGGAGTGGAATCCCAATGGATCATTGGTGCGACGATGAGATGGAGAAGATCCTGCGAGTTGGAGGAGTTGACAGATTATCGTCAGTCGTGGAGCTGGTCAGCTGAATAGAACGGCAGAGTATAGAGCAAAGGGGATATGTGTTGTTAAAGCCAGCCCTATTTTTCACTCGGAAAAGTATTATTTACTGAATGATGAGGTCTCAAACATGATTGACTATTTCAAGCTTGATCAGAGATTTTTATCAGTTAGACAACCTATGAAAACCTGGGAGTACTGGACAACTGTCACATCTGCCTAGTTTAGTACTCATCTGCAGTACAAATCAAGCTCGTAAATCATACAACCACTTGGACCCGGCTCAATGGTTAACCGATGAATTCTAACCTCTGCTATATCGTGATTTTAGTGCTGTTGATACCAACCAATGTCATCAATGTCGACTATTTGTCCTCACTGTAGATATTGAGTCGACTCCACTGATCACGACTTCTGACTAGAAGTCCAGGAAAATTCGTTCCGTACCCAACCCATCACTAGTAAGCATCAGACTAATTTTCAAGTTTAAAATTCTGCTGATGAATCTCAGACTAGGATGAAACAGCTCTCGGTTGGTTTTCAGTGTTTCTCTAACTGATATCGATCTGTGATCAAAGTTGAAACAAATCAAATACCTACAAACTAACTCTTGACAATTTGCTATTGCCCATAATCGTATCAGTTATTAATCTACACAACTTTTACTCATGAATTTTACAGTTCTTATTCTTTGTAACTCTTTCAACACACATATATTAACACATATAGTTTTTTTCGGAATTAGTTGTTTTAAAGCATCTGAAACTTTGAACATTGAAAGGCTCAGCAACTTTGATTGAGGTTTATTTAAAACTAATTTAACGACATTTGTCTTATTTTTATTTGTTTTGTTTTTAGTGTATGGAAGTACATGTATTTATTTGTAGAAAATGGATGCCTAAACACTGTGGTGATACAGTTAACTGGCCATGTTATACTGAGGAAATGCATCCGTTTTGGTTTCCGCTGACAACCAACAAGGATAGTACTGTAGATACGAATTACTTACCTTATAATCATATGTGGCCTGATGATAAAATATGGCTTCGTTATATACTTCAAGGAAATCTTCTTCTTGGCTGGTTTCATTTTACTCAAATTCTCAATTTGTCTAATGTATCCAATCAAAATCTGACGGATTGTTCAACGGAGACAAGAGGTCTTCCTATTGATCCGTATGAAGTGCCAGCTTATCACTTGGATATATTTACTGATAAGAATGAAATAGCATCGAATGGAGATGTAAGTCTGTGTAAATTTATTTTTACGCTAGAATTTAACTATTTAGATATAGGGGAATTTTTATGCACCTGATCGCAATTAATTTGAGGCCGGTAGTCTAACTGGTTCAGTCATATATTCTCTCAACCCACTAGTATGCAAATTTATTATTATTCTCTTGGGTTCCGTTAGGAACATGGGGCTGGCTTCAACAACACATTTGACGTCTTTTTCAACTGGCTAGCTCCACGATTGACAGTAATCTCTCATCTCCTTCAACTCGCCACACAATCTCCTCTATGTCAACCTCCCACCGAGGACCCACTCGTCACTTCCCATGGGAAACCAATCGAGCGATGGCCTGCATTGGTAGCAATATGATTCGATGACCTCCTCAACGTATGCTCGATCCATTTCCATTTACTCCTATATATATGTTGAAATCGGCGCTTAGTTGGTTTGTTGTAAAGATTCTTGTTGCTAATTCTTTCTGACCTGGCTGCTAGCTGGCCATTTGGTCTTCAGTATAAAACTAGCGATGGGGAGAGCTGTGGGTAAATGTCTACAGTCGTGTGTCTGGCCAAGTTTCTGACCCATATAGAAGAAGTAACTAACCGGCTGACTTCATATTTGTGTTGAAAATCTGAATCTTGTTCTTTACGCTGGCTGGCTGAGGCGGTGTTCAGAAGGTTTCCAAACTGGTTTCAGGATGATGAAACATATCTTGCCTTTTCGATTCTTACTTTGACATCTTTATCCATGCTATCTGCCTGCGTTTGAAACGATGCACCCTAGATAAGTGAAGGAAATAACCTCTGTTAAATCTTTCCCATTGATGGTGATTGGTGCTGATTGTTGTTGTTGTTGCTGTTGCTCGGTTGGTTGGTTGTCTTCATCACCTTGGTCCGTCGTCTCTATGTTCACCTGGAGTTGTGTCTTCTCTGACTGCCAGCTTCTTCATCCATTTTGTTAGTTTCCACCTGCAAGTCTTCTAGTTTGTATGATATTAAATATAAATCATCCACACGCGAAATCCATAACTTCTGATTGGAGTCTTCTTATCGTTGGTTCAATGTATTCCTTTCTCCTCGCTACGCACTCACAGTCCGACGCATAATCCAGTCCACCACAATCAGGAACATCATCATGGGTGATAATTGTTAGCCAGTTTGTCTTACTCTTGTATCCACTTCACGCTGATCACAAAGACTCCTGTTGTAGATTACCGGATACGTGGCCTCATTGTCATACAGCCAGCTGTTGAATGAGGTTGATACAGACTTGGACATTTCACGCCATGGTGTTGAAGCAGTTTCCAAATTACTTCTCGGTCAACACTGTCTCTCGAAGGCTTTTTCGTAGTCAACGAAGCTGTTGAAATAGAATGAGAGTTGACAGCCAATCTATGCTTTGCTTTGTGAACCCGATGCCCGGAGTCTCAAATTGATCATCACCTAGCATGCAAATACTTTCCGTATATTATCCAGATATGACGAATTATTTCAGTATTTTATCAGAGTATGGAATTATGTTGGCTTTATTCACCCACCTCCACCTTATTTTATACAACAAAACACACATTTTTAGTTTTGGAAGCCTACAGGCAGAAATGTCATCAAACCAGAATCTATTGTAGGTCCAAAAAGTGACACCTAGAGGATTGCTGGAACCAGTGGACAACTAAGCTCCCCATGACAACATATGACTCCCGTGACATATATCATGATGTCAATATTTTAGGTTTACAAAGTAAATCATAGTAGTAGTAATAAGGGGTAGAGATTTAATATGAGGTCGAGAAAGAGATATTATACAATTAAGAAACAAACAAGTAAAAGAAAGACGAAATAGAAATTACATATTCAAGTATTAGTTTGTAGGGATTCGATTGATTAATTACATGATTTTATCATGAGCTGACATCGTTTAGAGAAACCTTGGAAAACCTGGGAGTACTAGATAGCTGTTTCGTACCAGTTTGGTAATCTTCATCAGTAATTATTTGGTGTTAAGATAGATCACATCGATTGTAGATTTATTGACTGAACAAATCTCTCTTGTATGCAGAGTTCAGATTTAAGTATGTGAATCGCCATTACTTCTGTGTATTAAAGAAATTTGATTTGTACCCTTTCAGCAAGATTCTCACGTATTCTGTAGATGATTGATTTTGAAGTTACTTTGTGGGTTAGCTTGAAGCTAATCTGATCCACCCAGATGCTCCAGAATAGAGCTACACTGGGGGACCTATTTCCTTCTTTATAAAGCCATGAAGGTAAGCGTTGGATGATACGTTTGAATAGCAAGTGCTGTGTATGGCAGAGATAACCGGCTGCACACGAGCAGGTGAATCGGTAGACACACACACACACACACACTGATGAGCTTGCTTTTATTTTTACTTAAATAAATAAATAAATCTTTGCTTTTTTGCAAAAACAGTACTAATGATACAGCAAGGAATTTTTAGCATTCAGTACAATATTGCATCTAATTTACTCAAAAACGACAAAAAAAATTAAAAATACACATTACATAATAGTAATAAAACGATTGTCATAGCAGCTACATAGCAAAATACTGTATGCCATACGGAGAAAAATATGCATAAAGTACAAAATTGTAGTAATAATAGTAATACCAACTAAAATAAAATAGCAGAGTAACAATTAACGATAGAAAGTGTGACACCATAAAATACAGAAAGATGAACGATAAAAGGGTCGATTCACTGTGCTAATTACATAGTAACTTGTAAGTTTCACGTCTAACAGAGTCTTCGTCACATAAAGTACGCGCTAAATAGGGTATTGTAGAATTTCTATACTTAGTAGTACGAGCATATAACTTTTTATATTGACTTCTCGTCCTACCTGATGAGATACAAGGGGACAGGTGTGAATAAAGGGGGTGCAGAGGGTCTGACATTATAGCCTTTGCCCATTTCGTACAGGAATTTATATGCCTCTCGACTATAGTATTAGCGAGCTCATGCAGTGGCAGACCACAAGCTCTACTCACAGCATTTAATACTCTTCGTAATATGATATAATCTTTTTTGAGCAGCCCAGGAAAGATTAATGGAGAGCAGTAGAGTACAATAGGTAAAATACAGGAGTTTAAAAATTGCAAAACTAAAGGTTGGTTGATACCTGATTGTCTTAACTTTTTAATGTAGAAGGTAAGACGAAACATTTTCTTAGAGATAGATAAGATATGGGATGACCATGAAAGGTCAGAGGAAAAAACTAATCCAAGGTATTTAATGCTTGATTTGGTTTCAATTTCCGTGCCATCTATGCTACAGGGATCATGCGAGTTAACTAGTTCAAGTAAGTCACGTCGATGCTTGAAAGTAAAGTCAAGTGCCTGACATTTGGAAGGATTTAATATAAGACCATTTGACTTGGACCAGTTGTTGATGTCCAACAGAAAGCTATTAAGTTTGGAGCTGTCAGACTCGGAAGTGATAGGCAGTGATACAGTCAGATCATCTGCATATTTAACAAAGTTAGTTTCGTTTGAATGAGGCAGGTCATGTAGGAAGAAAGAAAAAAGAAAAGGAGAGAGGACAGCACCTTGTGGAACACCGGATTTTGTAAGCGAGGTAGAAGAAGATTTGCCGTTATATACAGTATACTGCATTCTATCAGAAAAATAGGAATGCAACCAACTCTTAGCCCAGGATCCTGTTTGTGTCAACGATAGCTTATTTAGCAAAAGGCCCCTAGGTACAGAGTCAAAAGCAGATGTGTAGTCTAAGAAAGCACTACGAACATATTTAGCACCTTTGTCTAAACAAGAGACAACATTGTGATATAAGACAACCGCAGCATCCAAGGTACTTCTACCATGTTTGTATGCAAATTGTTTAGGATCATTAAAAGGTTTCAAAGCGGGTTCAAGACGAAGTAAAAGTAATTTTTCCATCAATTTTAAAAAGGGGGAAGTAATTGCAATAGGCCGAAATTTAATATCAGAACCAGAAGATGGTTTTGGTATAGGGATAATTTTAATGTTTTTCCATGCAAAAGGTAGAACGTTACCGGAAAAAGAAGCATTAAAAATGTTAGTAAGAGGATAACACAAAATATCAGCACAATTCCTGAGGACAATGGCAGGTATGCCGTCAGGACCAAGGCTTTGAGAAGGCTTAAGAGACCGGAGACATTTAAGCACATCAAGGGTATTAAAACCACTAAAGTTATTGTCAATATGATTTGTATCATTTGGAAGGGTATCAACAGAAGAGTGTATGAAATATATATATAATATATTATATGTATATATATATATATAAATATATATATGTTATATAAATATTTTTCCCTTCATCTCTTTTTTAAATATAAAATGATAGAACAACTCCAACCACTCCAATCTCCAATGGATTATTGACCACTTGGGTTTAGATAAATGTGATGAGAAGTTGAAATTATGGATGAATTTCCCATTAAATCAAGTATCTGCTATGCCTATCATTTCGTCTATGCTTATAAAAACTCTAAACTATCCATTGAAAGACAATACCTAATTTGAAAGGGAAATAAATGAACAATGTTTTGATAAAAAAAATAAATAAATTGAAATTAGAAAAGTCAAACGATTTGTTTTCTCTCTCTCTCCCCCGCCTTTTTTTTTAAAGTAAATACAGAATAAGAATGATGATATGTGGATTAAATTACTGATCAAAATAGGGAAATTTATCATGCCTTAATGATTCATTCTTTTTATGATTATTTTTAAAACCAGGTGAGAATTATACTTTTATTCAAGTATTGGTTTATAGGGATTTGGTTGATTGGTTACAGGATTTCATCATGAGCTGACATTAGTTAGGGAACTTTTGGAAAACCTGCAGGGAGTACTGGACAGCTGTTGTTGAAATGACCACTGCTTAGATATAACTGAAAGAAGTCACCCCGTTTAGTGTTGTTGTCTATTTTTTTTATCTTGTCAGTATACATATTATTTTCTCCGCTTTTGGGAAGATTTCTTCGCGACATTATTTTGACAGACGTCCTCCAATCAATCAACCAAATCTCTACAAACCAACACTTAAATATCAATGAGATGCTCACTGGCAACTAGCCCTATTCAGGAAGGTAGTTACCTGGGTTCTAGTGAGAAGTCGTGACCAGTAGGGTGCAGCAGGATGCAGCAGGTAGGGTGTGAAGACAAATACTCGCAATCGATTACATCGGCTTGCAGTTGCACTATATCGTGAATTAGCAGAAGTGGGAATTCATGAGTCATTGGATGGGGTCCCAGTGGCTTAATGGTCTACGGGCTCGCCTTGTAACCAGAAGGTCCTGAGTTCGAACCCTGGTGGTGGGTGCGTACTGCTGAAGAGTCCCGAGTACTGGGACGAAACAGCTGTCCAGTACTTTCAGGTTTTCCAATGGTTCTCTAACTAATGTCAGCTCATGATAAAGTCCTATCACCAATTATACTTTTAGTTGTGGTAATGAGAATCTCCACTGAATTTTGGAACACATAAATTAGTAATAAGGAAAATACTGATGAACTCGACCCTAAACGAGCTAAACGATCGTTTGGTGTTTGGCTAATCTCAGTCTGACTAACAAGCACTTCTGGTTGGTATAAGTAGTATAAAACTACTCGTCTCCACCAATCAGTAGCATATAGTTTTTATGTAATTGTTTCTTTTGTTCAAACAAATTCTTATATGATGACAACAACAATTAATAATATTATTGTTATTCCCTTGAGTTCCGAGTGGAACATACGGCTGGCTTCAACAACAAATCACCATTTTCCTCTGTTTTCTGCCGTTCTCTTCAGCTGGCTAGCTCCACGATTGACAATAATCTCTCATCTACTCCATGCCACCATCTATGTAACGACCCACTCGTCGCCGCTTCCCATTGGGATTTCACTCGAGCGATGGCCTGCATTAAACGTGATGTCATTCGATGGTCTCCTCAATGTATGCCCCATCAATTCATCTACATTCTCTTCTAAATATTTGTTGAGTAATCGGTTCTCGGTTGTTAGTTTGTTCCCAGCCAGCCAGCCAGAGTTTCTTGTTGCTAATCCTTTGTGTTTGGCTGGCTGGCCGGCTGGCCATTTGATCTTTATTTTGGAACCAACGATGGAGGCAGCTGTTGATGAATGTCTGCAGTAGCCTGTTGGAAATGGTTTTCTTGGAGAACAAAGGGACTTAACACTTGTGTTGGAAATCCGAATCTTGTTCTTTATGCTGGCCGATTTCAGTGCAGAAGGCTTCCAAACCGGTTTCAGGTTGATGAAGACGTTTCCTACCTTTCCGATTCTGGCTGGCTGGGTGCCTGTCTTTGATATCTTCATTCGGTCCGCCGACCTGTGGTTGAAATCGTGCTTCCTGTTATGATGAGTGAAGGATGTAACTTCTGTCGAATCTTTCCAATTGATAGTGATTGGTGTCGGTTGTTGTTGTTGCCGTTGGTAGTGGTATTGGTTGGTTGGTCAGTTATCTTAGTCACCTCCCTCCGTCTTTGCTGTGTTCACCTGGAGTCCTGTCTTCTCTGGCTGCTAAGCTGTTCAGCCAGTCTGTCGGTTTTCGCCTGCCAGTCTTCGAGTTTGTGTGACATTGAACATAAAGCATCCACATGCGACATCTAGGTCTTCTAAAGTTTTCTTATCGGTGGTCAAACGTACTCTGGTCTCCTTGCACTACACTGAATTGAAGAATTGAAAAAGGATTAAGAAATCACAGGTGTATTCCCAGACGTGAAATAATAACCGTAATTAATTGATATTTATTTAGATAATGTGATTTTATAGGGGTTGGGATCAATTTCACTTGTCGGATTTTGTCACGAAACAACATCAGTTAGAGACCATTGAAGATCAAGCCGCACTGGGCAGATATTTTGTCCTAGTCTTAGACTTATCATCAGTACACACACCTACGACCCTGAGACCTGAATTATTCCCAATCTCTACAAAATCCTATCGCATCTTAACATCAATCTTCAGCTTATTTATAACTACTACCTAGGTTTCCTGAAACTGTATTGAGAAGTCATGACCAATGGGGTGCAAATGTAAAGGTGGAGTGTATTCTCATCTGAGGCGTTGTTTGACAGTATCACTATGCTGTGAGTTAAAAAAGTTAGAATCCACAGATTAGTGAATCCCGGCTCAAGTGACTGAATGGTATAAGAGATTAGCATCATACTCTGAAGGTCCGGCATTTAGCCGTTGAATGGGTTGTGGGTGTGCACTGCTGAATCGTCCTAAACCTAGGACAAAACAGATATCCAGTACTTCCTGGTTCTCAGTTATCCTTAACTGACGTTTATTATTATTATTATTGCTCCCTTGGGTTCCTAGTGGAACATAGGGCTTCAACTGCACGTCTCCATTTTCTTCTGTCTTCTGCTATACTTTTCGCCTACATTCATGTTAATCCATATTCTTTCAACTCCTCTTCACACGATCTCCTCCATGTCACCCTTGCACTGACGTCCCACACGCCGCTTCCCTTTCGGCCTGGTTCCACTTGAGGGCTTGGCGCGCGATGTCACCCAGCAGTCTCCTCAGCGAGTGTCCGATTCATCTCCACTTTCTCCTGCATATTTGTTGGGCGATTGGTTCTTGCTTTGTTTGTTCCCATAATTCCTTGTTGGTGATTCTTTCCGGCCATCTGATCTTCGGTATAGAGCGAAGACAGTTGTTGGTTGATAAAAGTCTGCAACAGGCTGTTGGAAATATTCTTTGTGACCCGCCTGCCAAGTTTCTGATCCGTATAGAAGAACTGACTGACTTTACGTTTGTATTGAAAATCCGAATTTTGTTGGTGATGCTGAGTGACGAAGATTTCCAGATTGATTTCAGGTTGATGAATGTATTTCTCGCCTTCCCGATTCTCGCTCGATTTGACATCCTCGTCCGTTCTGACTGCCTGTAGTTGAGACAACGCTCCCCAGATAAGTGAATGAAGTAACCTCTTTCAAATCCCTCCCGTTGATGTTGATTGACGTTGGATGTTGTTGTTGTTAGTTAGTTAGTTATTTTTATAACTTCCGTCTTGTATATGTTCACTTGGAGTCCAGTCTTCCCTGTCTGCTTCTTCGACCAGTTTGTCGGTTTTCTGTTGTAAGTCTTCGATTTTGTGTGACATCAAACATAAATCATCCACGCCCGAAATCCAGGTCTTCTAGGTTCTTCACGTTGGTCGGTCCAGGATATCCCTGTTTTCTCGTTTCCCACACACTGTGTGACGCATAATCCAGTCTCCCACAATTAGGAATATCATTCATTGGTGATAATAAGCACCCTTGTCTGACTCCTGTGTTTAATCTAAACGCCTGGCTTAGTCTTCCGTTGTGGATCACTTGACATGTGCCGTTGTCGTACAGCTGTTGAATAAGGTTGATGAATATTTGGGCGCTGGACGCCATAGTACTCGAGTAATTTCCAAATTACTTCGCGGTCAACGCTGTCTGTTGAAGGCCTTCTCAAAGTCTATAAAGTTGAGGTAGAGGTTTGATTGCCATTCCATGCTTTGTTTTGTGATGATGATGCGTAGAGTTGCAATTTGGTCAGTACATGATTTGCCTTTCCTGAATCCAGCTTGTTCTGGTCGGAGTTCTGTCTCCAGTGCGTCCTTTAATCTCTCCAGGATGATGCGACTCAGGATTTTACTCGGCGTCGACAGGTGCATGATTCCTCGCCAGTTCTTGTAGAGTGAGGCGTGAGTCGCCCTTCATTGGTAGTTTCACGAGGTAACCTTTCCTCCAGTCAGTTGGCACCTTTCCCTCTTTCCAGACCTTTTGCAATAATGGAGTCAGCATGTCTGCTGTATTCTCTGGGTCTGCTTTCAGTGCTTCAGGGGGTATTCCATCTGGTCCGACTATTTTTCCAGCTTTCAGAAGTTTGATTGCGTTCAAGACTTCAGCTCTCGTTGGAGGATTGGTGTCAACTTGCAGTTGTGTGCGCGCTGTTTTTGGTATTTCTGGACGGGTTGCAGGTGATGGTCGATTCAAGAGTCCTTTGAAGTGATCCGCCCATTGTTTAATCTGTTTCTCTGCCTTGGTAATTGGGTTCCCTTGGCTGTCTTTTATAGGTTTCGCTTGTGTTGGTCTCTTCCCGGATAGAGATTTGGTTATCTGATATAGTGTCCTCAGGTCACTTCTGCCTGCTGCCTTTTCAGCTTCAGTAGCTAGATTGTTGTAGAATCGTCTTTTGTCCTTCCTAACACTCTTCTTCACTTCTTTGTCCAATGGTGTGTAAGTTGAGCTCATCGTCTCCTTCTCCTGTCCGTCCTTGCATTGAATCATTTTCTCTTTCACCATTCTCCTCTCTTTTATTGATTTCCAAGTGTCCGTTGAGAGCCATTCCTTGTCTTGTCTCTTCTTTCTTCCTAGAACCGTTGAACACGTTTCGTTGAGAATCGCCTTCAGAGACCTCCAGTGTTCTTCCACGCATGATTCTTCAGTGCTGTCGCGTAGTGTTGGTCTGTGAGAAAAAAAAAATCATATTTGAATCTATATGATTAAATTGCTTTTTAAATAGACTGTTTATTAATAGCTGTAAGGTTTCCAAGCAGGACATCAGAATTTCAGCAGTACACTATCATTTCTGTCTGTTCTCCACTGTCGTTTGCTTAGCTGGCTTCGTTTCTGAACACAAGCTTTCATTTCCATTTTACGTGATCTAC